CCAACGGGGCCTCAGCCTGGTGGAGGGGTGGGGTGGGTGGGGTGCCCCTCTCACTTCACTAGGACCCGCCCGACCTCACCACCTCACCAGGAGGGTGAGTGCTGTCCTCATAATTCCCATTTTTCAGTTGAACAACCGAGACCCCAAAGGCCGAAATTATCTCCTCTAAACCCCAGAGCTCCTCGAACTGCCCTGTGGGTGGCTGGGGCAGGAGAGCCTGGCGGAAGCCCCGCCCCAGCGCCTCCTCACACCCCCCCCCCCTTTAAACGGCACCGTCCTCTCCGCAGATCCTCTGGACTCCCACAGACATGCCCTTCTCTGGAGCACCTTGAACCCTGCGTCAGGGAAATGGCCTCCCGCAGACTACACTGCTAGTGTCCCAGCCCACTGCGGGCAGGCCTGAGCTCACCCTCTCCCCTGTCCTCCGTGAGCCTGTGGTGTGTGGTCATGGGCCCACTTCCAGAGCCGGAAGGGGAGGCACCGGGAGGCAGCTGCCAGGGGAGATGCCAGGCTGTTCTCATGTTGGTCCCTGCCCCTGGCCTGGCACACTGTCAAGCACACAAACTTTCAAACAGGTGGTGTACCTGTGGCTGCGGGGCCGGGCCGTGGCACAAAGGCACTCAGCGACGCCCTCAGCCTGGGGCGGGCCCAGCTGACTTTCCAGAGTAGCAGGACTTGTGAGGTCCTGCTGGTGCCAGTGGGGCTGGAGCCAGCAGAGACCACCTGGCGAGAGCTGCAAACACATGGCAAACCGGGAGAAATCGCACCATGGAAATGGGCAGAGGCCACGGATCAGGACTACCCCCAAGAGCCATGGTTCCACGGAGTGCTGGACTGGACTGGGCTGGGCATGTGGCTCACACTGCTAAATACAGACTGCAGTCCTCACTTCCACTCGTGGGACGGGCATCCAGCTCCGAGTCCACGTGAGGAAGGCTAACAGCAGACCCAGCTCTGCCCCCAGCACACCCTCTGATGTGGGGACCTGAGCAGATCCTCCCCCGAGTGGGGGCCTTGGGGCAGAGGAGGGCGCGGGTGGAGGTCTTCCCCGTGGGGCTGCAGACCAGCCTGGCCCTGCCCTTCGCACGGCCCTGGGCCGCCCCGCCCTGCCGAGCCCATATCCCCCTGAAGAACTGGCCTGACCTCCTGGCTTCTCCCATCGGGAAGACTGCCAGTTTCTCAAGACTCAGTACGTCCTCGAGGCACCGGGAGTCCCAACCTGGGATGGGCATGCCTCGCCTTTCCGAGGGAAAACTCAGCAGGGGTGGACCTCTGCATGTCCCAGACAGATGCATGCCACCAGACTGGCCTCCGCTCTGCCGCCCTGGCCCCACTGGTGGCATGTGGCCATCATGCCTGCCTGGTGATGGAGGAGATGACTGGCCATTCACATTATGGCCTGTGAGCCGCTGCCCACCCACAGCCGGCAGGTGTGCAAAGTACGGCAGCAGTGTCCCCACACATCACAGAGCGGCCCAGGGCCTGGGCGAGAGGGAGAGCCTGCCCCGCTGGGCGCGGTGTGTGCTCTCGGCCCCAGGCTGGTTTCAGGCCCCCTGCTCACATGCCTCCATGGCAGGGAGCTTGACTCCTCCGCTGCCCCATGACCACGGAGTCCATGGCTGAGCAGCTAGTGGAGAGGTCACCGTTCCCTTTGCGAGAAACCTTGCGCTGGGCTCTGGTACAGATCCTAGGATACGGGAAGGGGAAGCCGGAGGCATCCTTGAACAGACCTTGGCACCAGAACTTTGCCAGGATCACTGTGTGTCCTCAGCCATGTCTCTTGATGCCTCTGAGCCTCTATCCCTGGCTCTGACGGGGAGAGAAGCACTGCCTGTCTGGCTGCCTTAGGCTGGGACAGCCAAACCGGTGGAAAACACTCAACAAAGGGTCTGCCCGGCTGGTGATGGCAGCACCTCTCTCTGCTGCCTGGAGCAGCCATGTCCGTGGCTGTTGGAGCCGAATGGGTTGATTCTCTCCATGTCACAGATGAATATGTTGAGGCCCAGCCCAGAGACTTTTTGGTTTTAAGTAGCTTGCTCAAGCCACAGAGCCAGCCACGGTGACCCTCCACCACCAAGAGCTTTCAGCCGCCTACCTCACACTCCAGTGCCAGCGAGCCCCAAGTCACCCCAAGTGCAGTCTGCCCTGGTGCCCAGCCTAGTCAGTAAGATGGGCACTTCCAGGGCCAGAACCCAGCAGGCAACAGAACCATGTCAACAGTTTGGTTATCTGTGAGATGGACATAATGGCCATGATCAACAATGCTGAGGTGCAGTCAGTGGTCAATACAAGTTCACTCACGGAGGCAGGGAGGGAAGAAGGCAGACCCCACCGTCCGCCTCTGCTCACTCCTCCCTGGAAAGCACCTCAGCAGTGTGAGGTTGGCCTTGCCCGAGGGAGCGCAATGTCCGGGACTGCCTCTGAGTGAGCTCAGGCAGCCAGGACCGTCTAGTGGTCAGACCAAGTGCAGCCTCCTAGAGCCCTCACAGGGCACAGCACAGGGAGGCAGCCTCTCGCCAGCAGGGGCCATTGGACCACCGTGTGGAGCCACCCGGTACCAGGCAGGACAGCAGGGAGCTCTGGTCCTGAGGGCACGGTGAGGGCGTGGAACCAGGAGAGCAGAGTGGGGGGTGGCAGGAGTGCCCTGGGAGCGCAGGGGCCTGCAGAGGAGGCCCTCAGGGACCAAAGGAAGGGTACAGTGGGGAGAACACGTGGGTGGGGTTGTGTGGCCTCTGAAGAGTCCTGTGTGGCTTGGGGGCAGTCTGGCCCTTCCACTCCCATCCCACCCGAGGGGGGCAGTGTTCTATAGCAGCAGTCACCAGCCTTTCGGACCTCACAGACCACCAGTGGTCCGCGGACCTCCAGTTGGTGACTGCTGTTCTATAGCACAGTCTTTATTTTATTCTTCTTCATAATTAATACGTTGATGTAACATTTTCTTTACTCCCAAATTTAAAAACATGTTGATTTTTTTAAGTAACAGCTTTATTGAGGCATAATTCACACTCCACAGAATTCACTCTTGTAAAGTGTACAATTCAATGGTTTTTAGTATCTTCACAGAGTTGTGTCCCCATCACCACTCTAATTCCAGAACATTTTCATCACTCCCCAGAAAAGCTGCCTCAGTTCCGTTACTCCCACTCGCGCCCTCTCAGCCCCAGGCACCCAGCAGGCGGCTTCCTGTCTCTATGGGCCACCTCTGCTAGACTCTCATGAGCGGGGCCTCGCCATGGTGCTCCTTTGTGAGTGGCTCTCCCACTCCGCATGGCTGACAGCTCGTCCCGGTGGCAGCAGGTGGCAGTACTTCGTTTCTTTTTATGGCTGAACTAGAGGCCCAGTGCATGAAAATTTCTGGGGGACTGAGGGGACTGGGGACTATGGAGGCAGGCATGCCGGCCCGGCCTTACCATGCACCTGCTGCCCCGGCAGGGCTGAGGGGACGGGTGCCGCCATCTTGTGGCTGTGGGCGCCGCCATATTTGAGGGTGAGGCAGTCAATTAGCATATTCCCTCCTTATTGGTTGTGGGTGCGGCCATCTTTGCGACAGCGTGAGGGTCAATTATCATATTCCATCTTTATTAGATAGGATAATATGCATCGAATGGGTCTGGCCAGTGTGGCTCAGTGGTTGAGTGTTCCATGAACCAGAAGGTCACAGTTCGATTCCTTGTCAGGGCACAGGCCTGGGTTGTGGGCTCGGTCCCCAGTAGGGGGCAAGTAGGAGGCAGCCAATCAAAGATTCTCTCTCCTAATTGAGGTTTCTATCTCTCTCTCCCTCTCCCTTCCTCTCTCTGAAATCAAGAAAAACTTATTTTTTTAAATATTCATTGAATGGATATACACACTGATTTTTTAAAAGCATGTTCACATTATAGAAAATTTATAAGACAGAGTGGAAATAAAAATGTTTCAGTGGTCCTTGTGTTACTATCCAGTGTGACACCCAGGGCACCCCCTGCAGCTTCCTGTGTGT